CGCCCCGAGCGGCTCATGGAATCAAACAGGGTGGTGGAACAAGGCGCCCGAGTGCCTGAGCAGAGGGGGTGGCCGTACCTGCTGGCAGCAGTGTCTCCTGGGCCACCCTTACCTCGCCGAGCGACCTAGCAAGTAAAGTCCTGTCACCCCTTCCAGATGCTTTCCCAGGCAGGTAGATCACAGACCCTTGTGCCAGGCGCCGGATTAGCCCCGCAGTCTGTTCATTCCCTACAGCTTCCATCCCTCCCCCACGACGGGGTAACCCATTTTCCTCTGGGAACACTTTCCCAGACACTGCTCTGACTACCGCAAGACCGAGGAGGCAGTAGCTCGCTGCCGCTTTGTCCCCTGGAGTCAGGCTAGTTCCTCCTTCAGTGAGCTGCAGAGAGAGATGAGCAGGGAACAGGGTGAGCTGCCGCTTTCGCTAGAAAGTGCAAAGGGAGAGCCCCGGCTGGTTCAGCTGCTGCCAGCTGTGTGCCCGATGGGACGATGCAATCAAGACCTTTCTAAGCCTTAGGCAACCTGTTACTGTAATTTCATACCTGGGATGCACGTGTCAGTTTTTCTGATCCTCTGCCAAGTCTTCAGTCTTCCCATCACAAACCACTCCTCCACCATGGGAACCGTCTGCTCTCTACTGGTGCTGTTTATGTGATGAGCCACGTCCAAATGCAATGGAGGTTGGCAGGTTTTTGCTGTTCTTGGCTTTCACCGGTTTTGTTTGTTTGTTTGTTTTAGTTTCATAGCACTTACCGTTCAGCAGCCTTTACACTCAGTGGTCTGAGTGGAAGACAGCACCACAACTTGTAAATAGGAACCGGAGAAAAACTCACCAGTGATCTCTTCTTAGCAGCAGCTCTCAGTCACAGGCGGCTACCCAGTGACAAAGCCATACACTGTACCAGACGTCCTTTTGAATTTAGGATACCAACACGCTGAAGCCTTTGCCCTGCTGGTACAGACGCCGATATCCATGCGCTGTCTCCAGCAAACCAGAACCTCATTGTCTCCGGACACACAGAGGGCAATTTTGCACTTCTGAGTCATGGTTGGGTTTTATTTTTCATGAGTGTTGCTTTAGTTCAATCCTATTTATCAGCCAAGCTCCACACGAAAAATAAACAGTGTACAACAGATCCTGCTGCCTCTCACCTTCATTTTACGGCACCTTTGGATGCATAAACACCACCCCCAGCACAGGCCCCACGGACAGCACAGTGCTTGTTATCCCCACCCTTCGTACCCCGGGGCTTCACGACCCCACAAGCACCACCGCAGCAGCTTGGCCAGCCTGCCCAAAGTCCTGCTGCTGCTCTCCACTCCGATGGGATCCCCGCTCTCCTTGCCCTCACCTACATCTTCCTGCCTGCTCTGTAAAGGTGGGGAAACGCTGCCCGGGCTGGCAAGGCGCAGTGTCGGACACCAGCAAGTCCCAGACCTCCTTCCCCCTCTGCCCCAGCGCCGGGGAATCAGGAGCCACTATGTTAATTCTTACTTCTAAGAGGAAGAAAGGCGGTGCTTTGGCAGCCGTCCCGGTTCTGCTGCTGAAAACCACCCCCAGCAGCGGCAGCAGCGGCGATGCTCCTGTGGGCACCCAGATGGCTTGCAGCTCTGCCAGGTTTACGCAGAACTGCAGCAGCAGACATCAGCCACGGGGACAAAGCCCGATGCCGGCCCCTGGGCTTGGCGACTCCTCCGGCTACGGCAGTCTGACGCCCAAATGTTCCTGCTGCGCTCCTTCCCTTTGGTCCTTTCTGTAAGAAAGGAGTTATTACTGCGCCAGCTGTAGAAAAGATTTTTTTAGAAATTATACATTTATTGTCAGTCCTGCCCCAGGCAGGGAGAAGCTGAGCCAGCAGGCAGGGACTTAGGACTTCCCAGCTGAGGTATTTTTAACTGCAAAATAAGAAATTTCAAAGCTGTTTGGCATGGCAGAGAATCTGTGTAAAGGCAGAGAGTCCACACCAAACCGCTCCCGCTAACGCAAGCTGTATTACTTCAGACAAATCTGGGGCTGTTCTGAGCTGTGTCTTGCATCACTGGGGAGATGGGGGACACCTGGGTCTGCAGCCCCGCTCCCCTGCTGCTGCTGAGCTGCCCCCGCAGCCCCTGGAGAGGAGCCCCGTCCGACTGACGCCTCCCCGCAACCCCGCTGCCTTTTCGGTGCCAGTTCTGCGCACACCAGCGCCCGCGCAGCCGCCAGCGCTCTGGGAAGGGACAACGGGCTCTGCTCACACGGGCCG